ACTTCCAGAAAAGTGGTTTGGTGGTTTGTGAGGGACACTCAGACCATGTCAGGAGGTCCTGTCTTCACCAGAAGTTAAGAGCCTAATTTCCAACCAAAATGTAAATCCATGGGCTAACATTGACTAGCTAGTAAAACATCTCTCTACAGTTTCCTGAAAGAAGATTCTAGCGAGGGGGTGTTGGTCCCTTTTCCACATAACAAGAGATAAGAGGAAATGGCCTCAAGTTGTGCCAGGGAAGATCTAGATTGAATATTAGGAAAAATTTCTTCCCTTATAGGGTTGTCAAGCACTGGAACAGGCTGCCCAGGGAAGTGGTGGAGTCACCATCTGTGGGGATATTTAAAAGCTGGGGAGATATGGCACTTGGGGATATGGTTTAGTGGTAGAGATGGCAGTGCTGGGTTGGACTAAATGATCTTAGAAGTCTTTTCCAATCTAAGTGATTATGTGATAGTCACTGCAGACTGACACCATTTCATTCACCTTTCAGATGACAATATCCAGGATCTACATTTTCCAAGCTCTTCTATGAAAGAAATCAGGTTATTTCTGGCCATAAACACCATACCTCTGTCTGTTTGTTAGCAGCCTGGTATTCCGTTATCTAGCTACCTTTCTTACAAAGCATCTTCCTAGACTTCTTTAGAGGATCACCTAAGCACTACTTATTTCTCCTGTTACACAGGAAAACAAATAGACACGGTGCTGTATTTAGAAAAGATTAGTGTTTTTTCTCTTTAAACCAGAGCTGAGAATGATGGAAATTGTTATGTGGATGTGTCAGATTTTGGAAGGAGGGAGGTGATAAACATTAAGTTTCTTGATTTTTAATCTTAGTTCTAAGAGTCAAACCCCTCAGTCATGTCTTTGTCTATTTTTGTCACCAACCATAAGTTTTTAGGCAGAAATTACTTTGGAAGTTTAAAAACTCTGTCAAGTGAGGTTGGACAAATTTATGCATGGCAACTGCAATTCTTTACCTACTGAAAACCCAGGAAAGTTTTTCCCACTTTCAGAAAGTTACATGGTAAGTCTACCACACTTGTTTACTTGTTTACTGCTATAGATCAACAGATGAGCTTGAATATTGCCCTTGTGATGTTTCTGAAACATATTTTGATAGCTAGTCACTCTCTATAAATGATGTCATAAAAACTCAAGAAAATCATAAAACCCAGTCATATTTCTGATACTTTGTGTCTTTACACTTACATGAAAAAAAATTGCATTTTTCTAGTCATTAAAGTCCTTTACTGGACCAGAATGATTCTGTGTTAACATTCAGAATTCAGAACTACAATATTTCCCTTTACTAGGAAAAAATGATTGTCGTTTTTTTTTTCTTTTCAAAAAAGATTAATTTCCTTTCCATTCTAGATGTGGATCCTATTTCTTTTTAAACTGAAACCTTGTGGTACACATTTTAAGTTTTTTGCAGCTATGCTGTAAGTTAATACCAATGCACAGCTTCCATACATTCTTTTGAATGCTGCCTACATCCTTGTGAACAACAGGCTTTGAACTTCTCCTATTGCTGTTGTGAAGGATTTCTTGCATGAAGACCTCATCTTCCATTGCTTTTATTCTTATTAATATAATTAACATTCTTATTAATATAATATTGCCATCAATTTTATTTATGTGTCATTTAGCCAGTTTCTGTACAAACACATAATAAGAGACATGTCCTGCCCATGTGCATTAGATAAGCAAGATTACTTGGTAAATATAATTTTCCTAAAGACCATGCAAACAGGTCATGTTTCCACATTGCACTTCCCTAGTTTGTCATTCTCCTTTTCTGGTTTCATTGGTTTATCTTAATACCTTTCTAGACTAATGTGACTCACATTCTCCCAGCTTTCTCCACCATTGACTATGATGATGAACTAAGTTGTTGCATCAAAACAAATCCCATTCTGATAAGAAGCAATAGTATGTTAAGCAGGTTTCATGCTTCTTTCACAGACTGCTTGATTCAGCTGTTACAGCCTTAAACTATGATTGGATCCATTTCCCTGTTATGGTCATTTGATTTTAATGTCTCTGTTGTGCTTGGTCTACATAGTCTGAAGGCAGTGATAAAAACAACAGATAGAATCTCTCTTCATGTTGAACTCATACTTCCTTGAAATAAGTACCAAGATGTGTAGCAAATTAGACTTCATCTACTGGACCCTTACATCTCTTGCACAGAAGTGTATTAATTGGAAATGCACCAATTCTGAGTTTTCCAGCTGAGATAACCTTTCAGTACAGCAAGATGTTAGTGGTGGCACTACACACTTGCCCACAGGGAACTGAAGTTTCTCAGCTTTCATCAGATAGCAAAAAATATCCCTCTTTATTGATCCCAAATGTTTTGAACCATGACTGCCCAGTGAGAAATTACTCTGGATACCAGATCAAGCTCATTGAATAGGAGCAAAGTCACCACTGGTTTCCTCCTGGCACTGAATGGTCAGTACAGACAGAAAGCCTTTGTTCTGTCCTCAGTACTTGTACTTTTGAGTTCAGTCCAACTCTTTACACAGCGGCCCAACCCTTAGAATGGCATCACAGACCACAGCCCTTACCTGCAAACTGCATCCAGACCTGTCACGAGCACCATATCCTCATCTCTCAATGAATCCTGGTCAGAGAAGGTGTCTCAGGTAGCCTTGGCCAGTTAAAGGACAGATAGACTTGGCCAGTCCTGATTAATACTCTGGGACCTGGACATGACTGTGGAATTAGCTGAGGACCTGAATCTCCAATGTAACAGCTTTGTGCCTGGTTGCTTTCAAGGAGATAGGGATGTGTCCCCAGACCAGGATAAGCTTGGAACAGCAGTTCAAGATATTGGCAATGAAGTAAAATACCATTCCTCAGACTCCTTTAGTGCATGCTTGATGTGTAAGAGTCTTTACTCCTTCAATATCTGCCTAAATAATTGCAGATAGTATCAAGCCAGCTTGGAGGGTGGAGTTGCTGCAGGCACTTTACGGGAAGAGAACCATGTCTTGCCTCCATTCCCTCTGAAGTTTAAAGGCAGCTTCAGCGAGCCCTCCAGCTAAAAGGCAGTGGAGATCTCCTGTGACAGGAAACTCAGAGCAAAGAAAACAATGCTTTCTGGGAAGATTGCATGGGTACTGACTGTATGGAAGGGCAGACCTAGAATTGTAGACTCACAGGCTATGCTGAGTTGGAAGGGCCTGAGTCCATCAGGACCATTGAGTCCAATTCCTGGCCTTGCACAGGACACCCCAAGAATCACACCATATGTCTGAGAATATTGTCCAAATGCTTCCTGATCTCTGTCAGGCTTGGTGCAGACCCTCCTGCATCTGCCTGAAAGCTGGATCTATGCTTGAAGGTCTCCCTTAAGCAGTCATCTGCCAGGACACTTGCTTTTGTTCTCTGAGAAACCAACTAAATGGGTTGCATTAGGCATGAAATTGTGGATGCTGTAATAAACTTCATTCTTATTTTAGGCAATGCCTTGGCTGTGAGGAAGACTAAGTTTTTAAATACTGTTTAAAGAAAAGATGCAACCTAGCCTGAGCATCTGGAAGATCTGGTTGGGGTCAGAGTAGCACAGGTGTGTAAGTTTGTAGGTGTACCTGCCCCTGAGAGCAGAAACATTTGGTGTGGACTTCTTTAGGACTAGGAAGATGAGAGCCAGATCCCCAGCTGGCTATCTATATGCCAGACTTTGTAAGAAACAGGTTCCAACACATGCTCTGAATTTCAGTTTGGGATGCTCACGGTACATGATATGAAGCCCTGCTTGGTATTTCAGCTTTTGTCCACCTCAAAACTGAAATTTCTGTGTAAGAATTGAGTGGCAGCTTCAAAAATGATGAAAATCAGTGGCTGGATAATTTACTTGACAGCAAAGCTATAGTGATTCTTCCCAGAGGTGTATAGAACAGCAGTCCTTGACCTTGGTGGAAGGGAGGAGAAGGCCTCTCTGGGAGCCCCAGTGTGTATCTCAGGACATGTCAGATGGTGAAAAGTCCCTGGTAGTTGTCTTTGCCTTCTTCACTTTTTTGTATCTTCCTCCCTACACACACATATCCATGAATTTTTTGTCTCTTCAGGACCTGTAAGACAACACTTGTCTGGAACCAGTGTCACTCTCTGGTGATTCATCCCTTTCTCTTAGATCCAAATAATCACTACATTCCTCAAAGGTTATATCTCAGGCAGAAGCCCAAGCAGACATGGGACTGGATGGGACTGGAAAGGCAGTTTGAGAACCAGGAGCACAGGCTTCTGTGTGCACAGCAAGAACCATGGGAGCAATGAGGAGCCCAGCACACACCAATATGTCAGCATTCCCATACCTCCCATGGTCACAGTGACACTTCCACATGAAAAATCCATGCTCAAGTCGATTTCTCCTGGCCACCAGAGATCTCTTTTGCCCAGAGCCTTGGCTCCATCTTGCAGCTCTGCAACAGAGGTCCACAACCCCTGGAAGTCACCAATTCCACAGCATGTCACAGTTTTGGCTCGGCAGAGCCCAGGAGTCCAGGCTGCTTAACAGCCTGCTAGATAAGCTGGCAGCAACTTGCAGTCAGATCTGATGGACGCGTGCCCACACATTGTTGAAATGAGTGTATTTCTTGAATGTACTGGCTCCTGCAGGTTGATGTCCAAGCCTGGAAGCCCCTGTCACAGCAGAGTTTGCAGCCTGCCCTGATTCCACCCATTCAGTCCTGCTTTCTGGCATCAGGACAGCCCCTGCACAGCTCCCTGCCCCTCCACCATCACAGCACGCACCACTGCTTTAGTGTTTTCCGCAGACCATGATTCCACCTGAGTGGCCATCAATGCTGTCATGCATGTGGGAGGCGTGTGGTACAGGTTTTGTGTTGAGTATTGACGGGAGGTGGTGACCTTTGTGTTTGTGCTGGTGGGGATACATAGTGAGTGTCAGCATTGTGTTATCAAAGAGCTTTCACTGCAGGAAGAATTAATAATGTCTGCTTCTTTCCTTCACATTTCTGCAGGATTCGGTCAACCCCAGTGCCGTGATTGATGGTGTGAGCAAAGCCTTGTTGGCGCCATCTCGAAGGCAGGTGCCCATTAAGAGAAGACAAGGATGAAGGTGTCTTGCAGGACTTACAACTCCCCTATCAGTGCTGGGCAGAGTGAGTGGCTTGTTCAGGGGGATGTATTTGCTGACAAAAGTCTGTGCAAACAAGGACCTTGCGAGAACATACAGGGAACAGCTGCGCTGTATCTGGGAAAGGTGAATGCAGTTTGCAGAGCAAACTTGCTCTAATTCAGGCAAATACTGTTACAAGCAATGTAGCTGAAAAGAAAACACGTTTACTGGGATGTTAACATGACTCATATCAAGTGCAGGGAAATGGAGAAAATGCCTGCGTCTGTGAAATTGCCACCTGAAGCAAATAATTCCTACTAGGAAAACCCATTCGCAAAAACATCTTGCCTTGACTGAACATTCTCAATACCTTGGGAGAAAAAGGTGTTTAGCATGTTGCAGGATTCAGCCTTCACAGGCCCCCTCCAAGCACCAGCTCACTGGTTATTTGCAAAAATATTGTTGCTTTAGGTTTTGGGTGGGGGTTCGAGCTGCCCCCCAGTGTTGCACTGCAGAGGCAAGGGGTCCTGAAGACTTCTCGGGAATCAGCATCTTTCAGGGGGCTGGCACTGAGTATCCCCATGCTGAGCACCTCCAACCACCTTTCCACCAAAATTTCAACCCAGGTTTCTCCCTTCCTGTCTCCAGGACTACTGCCACCACCCTCAGCACCTCAGAGGAAAAAGCTGCACATGCCTTCAGGAAAGCAGGAAAAGCTGCAAAATTTGGGGACAGAGCCCCACCTCGTGGAAAGGACCTCAGGCCCTGCTTACCAGAGGCTTTTGTGGGTTGGCTTGTGTGCCCCAGCATGACCTCATGCCTCACATCCTGCCTGCTGCTACATTAATTAGTCTAATAAGAGGTTTTATCTCAGTGTCAGTCACAGTCACACTGCACACAGCACAGGAATGGAGCGGTTCCTGGGTCTTCCTCTCCCACAGTTCAAGATATTCTGTGCAGCTCACGTGAGTCATAATTATATTTGTGTTACTATTAAAAAGAAAAAATATGGTTTTATTCATTACAGCAGGTTTCAGATTTAGAGACAGTGGGAGATGTGGTTGAAGGCCAGACTGAGCATCTTCCATTGAAAAAAAGAAATTAAATGGCCTTTTAAGTGGTCCGACCAAGCAACCATGGGAAGGCACCAGGCAGAGGAGCCCTGAGGATCAAGGGTTTGCCTACAGTTAGGTCAGCTGCCAGGAGAGCACTAGCTGGGGGAGCTTCTCAGCAAGCAAGGATGGTATGGCCCAGGAAAGGCTGCAAGTCAGCAACTCCTCGAACCCTGTATTTACTGGGTTTCAGGATATAGAAATGCCCCTCTATTTATTTTCCCACCTGAACTCAGGGAATGTGGTCTCTACCCACCTTTTTCATACATAAAGTGGGATGGTAGCAAGAGTTCATTTTCCTCCACCTTCTGGAGGCCCCCTGGAAAAGTCCTGGGGCACTGAAACAAAAGGTACCATGATTTGAAATAATTATTCAGTGCCACCCACAGGAAACACAACCAGTCAGGAACTCCTGCACCCGTGCCAAGAGGTGCAGGATTGAAGCTACTCCATCAGATGAATTTGATTTCTGTTGACAGTTTTTTTGTTCCTGTCAGGAAAACAAAGTGAACTTGCCCCCTTCCAAGGATTCTGATTTGGGAAATGAAGTCTAGCTATGCCAGACAGGTCAGAAAAGTGATATTTGTATTTTATTTTTTTTGCCCAAGATGTGTTATTCTCTCTAGAAAAAAATTGTATTTAGCTACCTGTTGTAGCCAACATGTAACTGTGGCTGCTGCCTTCAGTGTGTGTGATTAGGGATCCTGGAGGGATTATTTGTCCAGAATCAGCAAGGTAAAACATCTTCTTCTCATTTGGTTGACACACAAAAACTCCTAGAAACATCAGTGATGTTCTTTGATCCATTTGCCATAATTAGGGATGATCACATCTCTCACTGCTTGGCTAAATTCATACTTCTCTATCCTATCTTTCAGTGCCCAAATTCCTGTAAACCTCAGGGGTGACTTAAAAAGCCCATGACTTGGCACACCAGAGCACGGAGCTCCTCAGACCACAAAAAGTCAGAGCCACTGGTGTATCTGATATTGTTCTCAGTTCTCCAGTCTGGGCACTCCCACTGTTTTGCTCAGGAATCATTATTAGCTGGTAAGATGTGAGAGCTGGTTAGACACCCACGTTCCCCACCAGCACCAGACACTGGTGTGAGGCAGGAGGTGCTCGGCCAAAGCAGTTGCCTTCTGCCAGAGCAAAGATGCAACAGCAAAACCCACCCTGGGCTGTGCCCAAATCACCTACTGATAAGCAGATCAGGGTGTAAGTTTGACTATTTCTTAACCTTTTGCAGTAAAAATGTGGGGTCTTTGCAGTGTCAGTATGTCTGGGATTAATGAGACTCTTGGGTACAGGGGTTGGGGAGCATTGCAGGGTTTTGGTTTTAGATGTTTTATGGAAAGCCTGGACAAGCACCATTGGTCAGCTTAGTGCTAAGTAATGATTAAGCTGGTTAGCACCAAGCTGCTTTCAGTTGATTTTTAGAGGGGGAAAAAGCCAGCTGGGATCTTCATTTCCATGGCACACAGGCATAAAGAGGAGTGACAGGGGCTGGCAGTTCTGACCTGCCATGCTGGGGAGCACAAGACCCTCAGCACACAGGACTGCCAGGGGGGACACTCTGTCAGGGACATCCCCAGACCAGAAACAGTGACGGGAGGAGGGGATGAAGATGGTGCTGAAGACGAGGAGATGGTGAAGGCCAGCTCCCCAAGGTGCTGGCACTCTGCTTGGTGCAGGTGTCCCTGTGCCCAGCAGAGCTGACAGAAACACCTCCTCCCTTTAGGGCTCACCCCTTGCACAGGTGCCAACAGTGGAGGCAGAAGTTTGCGTGCTCTCCCCATGTCCAGCATGGATCACAGGAGTCTCCGCACTCAGGATGCCCATGATGGCCTCTGAATATCCCTGCACCGTCCATGGGCTGCATTAGAGGTAAACCTTCCTTTCAGCCTCTGAATATCCCTGCACCGTCCATGGGCTGCATTAGAGGTAAACCTTCCTTTCAGCCTCCTCGCCTGCCTTGGCTGCCGCCTGCGGTGGGAAGGTGGCTCTTTGGGGTGAGGGTTGCACGCTTGGTGCCTGGTGCATGGGTGACATCTACCGGCCGTGCCTTCAGCTTCCTTCTGTGCTTTTACGACTCTAAAAATACTTTTGCCAGCAAAAGTGACACTGTGTGCTGTTTTAACTGCTCGTATAACTGTGCCAAGGTCAAAGCCAATTCATTATTTTGTTAACTGTGTGAAGGCTGTGTGTCACATGCCACGGACCTTCTCTGGGGTTTGACAAAAAGCTGAGACTTCAAATGAAGCAGTGCAAGGCTATAGGAAATCTTGAAACATGAATGGAGGTTATTCCCCTGTCATTTATTCCCCTGCAATTAAGATAAAATTTTGGATCTGTTTCTTTCATTGAGAATTCACAACCAGTCCAGAGCACAACTAAAAATATGAAGTAACAGTAGTACAGTTTTCCTTACAGAAAATTGCTGCCACTTATTTGAGGATTTATTTGAGAATGGCAAAATAATGGCAGTTTTTCTAATATTTTTTACCTTTTGAAGAGTAGAAGGCAAAATTAGGAAAAAAGCATCTGCCTAGTTGTGACCTAAAATCAAAATAATAACTAATCCCACACAAATTTTAAAAAATTAAATACTTGTGTCATTTTTAAAATAAATGCTTCCAGGCTGGTGGCTTTTGTTGTGTTGGTATTGGAAGAAATATTATAGTCGAGGTCCAGATTATAACCCTTGGATCTATGCTCAACAAACTGCCCTGGCTGGATACAACTCACCAAGTGCCTGACTGTGGGCACAGCCAGAGAGCTGGAGCTGGAGCACTATTGCTCTGCATCCTGGTTCTTGCATGAGGCTGAACCTTGCAGATTCTTATCAATGCAGCCATAAAGAAAAAGCTGTAAATACACTACTCAAAGGGTCAAATTCAAAGGTGAATAGAAAGTAAACAACACCCATACTTTCAAATACTGTGATTTTTAAGCTTTTTATTATTTTGGCACCTGGCATATAATTTGTGAGTGTTTAGGTAAGGTGAGGCAGTGGTAGAGACTGTACAAGCAGTACCTTGGCAATCCCACAGTATAATAGCACCCACAGCCACTGCAATATCTGCAGTGCCATAAATGTTAATCCAGCTTGTCCTCTTTCCTCGTGTTATCTCTTCACACCTTTAGTCAGCTCCTAAAGCACAAAACCAGGATAGGAGCACCAGCAAGAATAATAAGCCCTGTTGAGAGAAGAGAAGCCTTGGGTGTTCTCAAGGATGGACATGAGCCAACAGGGCTTGTAGCCCAGAAGACACATCCTGGGCTGCATCCAAAGCAGTGTGGCCAGCAGGAGGGGATTCTGTACCTCTACTCCACCTTTGTGGATGCCCACTTGGGGTGTTGTGTCCATCTCTGGGGTCCAGCACAGGAAAGATATGGAGCTGCTGGAGTGAGTCCAGAGAAGGGCCACAAGGATGATCAGAGAGGTGGAGCACCTCTCCTGTGAAGACAAGTTGAGAGAGTTGGGGTTGTTCAGCCTGGAGAAAAGGATCCAGGCAGACCTTACAGCACTTCCCAATACCTGAAGGGCGCTTATAAAAACAAGGGAGAGGAACTTTTTATATGGGCAGATGACAGAACAAGGGGCAATGGTTTTAACTGAAAGAGGGCAGGTTTAGATTACATACAAGGAAGAAATTCTTTACTTTTTTCAGGGTGGTGAGACATTGGAACAGTTGCTCAGAGAAGTTGTGGATGCCCCACTCCTGGAAGTGTCCAAGGCCAGGGTGAATGGAGTTCTGAGCAACCTGGTCTAGTGAATGGCATCCCTGCCCATGGCATCTGTGGGATGTTGCAGCTAGATGATTTTAGCATGCTTTCTAATCCAAACCATTCTCTGATTCTCATTCTGTGATGGGAAACTGGTTCAGGGTGGGACAAAGCAGCTTCAAGATCAGTCCTGAATATAAAAATCTCTTTTTCCCTGTTAGCCATTCCCAAAGGACAAGTGCTGAATGACTGTGAATTTCTTAACATCCCTTCCAGGGACTGTGAGTTTCCCTTCAGTACATCTGAGCACCTGGTCCAGTCTCCAAGGCCATCGGTTCTTCCTCTACAATCCCAATCCTCCTATGCACTGACTGAACATCTCTATGTACCATGCCGGGGTTCTGCTCTCTGCTTTGACCAGTTCCTGAAGAATCTGCTGCAACCTGAAAGCCCAGCCTTACATATGTGCTGTGTTGAACCCAATTTTCTGAAAGCTGTTTGATAATTTCTCTGAGGGCATCCAGTGGGGTGCTTTTCAGATACCTACAGAGACTAAACACTTTTTTTGCCCTGTGAAGGAAGGTGTCAGGTTTATTTGGTATTACCTACCTTTTCTAGATCAATGTTCTTCCTATTTTTTTATTCCTGTTTTATGTCCACTTCTTTATATTACATTATTCAGCCCTTCATGGCATATGCATTAGTGGGCCCATAAGTTTTTCCTTTCTCCCATATTCCTTCTGAGCAACCTCATTTCAGTCTTTCTTGATTATATGTCTCTGCAGATCAATAGATATCACCTCTTGCTGTTAATAAATTGCCTTTATTACTTCATTTATATATTTTCTAATCTAAATCCCTCTTGATTAGCTCCATTTGATCACTAAGAAAACTTCCCCAGGCTCCAATGCAGGGTGTTAGTTCATCCATTAGTCACTGCTTCCCCAGCAGTCAGCCCTAAAGATTGGAACAATATAAGAAAACACAGTATATTTCACATGTGATGCAAATAACTAATATGTTTTGCTTTGTGAATTATAAAATAAACTCCTTCTGGAGCTACAAGAATGGAAATCATACAGAAAACTATTTGTTCAGATTGTCAACCATCTGAAGGAGAGTGTTTAGCAGCTTTATTTTCTGATCTCCAGTAATAGACTGGATGAAATTTTGTGCAACTCATCTTGTGATGCTCTTTTGGATAAAATCTGTAAAAAAGCTCCTATAAGGGAAGCTCCTGCATGTTAACATCCTTCACTTTTATTTTTTTAAGAATATGCTTTAGCTCAGATGTCCTTTGGCATATTTGGAAAAATTCTCTCTTTTCCTATTAGATGTTCTGCTCACCTACCCCCAGCTGACATCTTCCAACCCTTTAATGGTACCTCACAATTATTGCTTTTGAAGTCCTTTGGAATTTACAGCTGTATAAATGTCAGTGCTGTTCTGTAAAAATATCAGTTATGTGAAAATCTTGGAAACCTGCCCAGCTATGATACTGCCAGGAATTTGGATATAAGTGCAACGTGACTGGTTTGGATTCGAAGGAGACTAGAACAAGTTTTTTTGATTGATAGTTCCTAATAATCATGGTCTGAGTGTCGAAATAGAGTTTGCTGTGGTTTAGATTTATCCATTCTTGCAGAGGGAGAAATTGCTCTGCCAGCTTCTCAATAAACCACATTGTTTGGGATGCCACCAGGTGGTGCCAGCAAGTCAGGGAACCACGAGCAGGACGGACTCGGGGAAATTAGCCTAGATTGAGGATGAGACGGCTCCTGGGACCTCTTTCTGTTTCTAGTCGGGGACTTCAATCCCAATCCCTTCCAGCTGCTCTTAAAATATTTTTCATGTTCTTGTGCCACACTTCAGAAGCTTATTTTAAGATTCAGCTCAGGATGCTGAGGCATGCCCTCAAAAATAGCCTTTTCATAAAAAGACAAGCACTTCTGTTGTTTTTCCTAGTTCCTAAGAACTGTTTAAAATCAAATGACATGGAAAATCTAGTGATCTCTATGTTTTAATCCTTCATGCCTCATTTATTTTGGATTAATACTTGACTGTGACTATTTTTGTTACTTAGTCATTGCAAAAATCAAAGCAAATTCCAGTGTTTCTTTTAAGAAATCAGTCATTCTACATTGTCTACCAGACTCTTTCTTCTGAGCTGATATTGCTCACATCCTGTTGAAATGTCAGGATATTTCCCATCTTTGAGTCTGGATGTAAAATAAAGTCCTGCTGGAATTTAGACATCAAAACTCATATGGATGTGTGTGAGGAAGCCCAGAGGTCCATAGAGAGTGGAACTGTAGTGTTGCTCTTGTCATGGGGTAGTAACAGGGCCAGGGAAATACCCTATAGCCACACCATTTCACACAAGCTGGGTAAAAGGATGGGCTATGTAGACTGTTTCTCAGGCTTTGCTCATACATGCAGAAGTAAAAAGAACATTGTAGTGGATCAAGAGAAGGGATGATCCCCTCTAATCACCCTTCACTATACCACGTCTACATACTGCACCCAGTTTTGCATTCCCGGGTACAGAAGAGATAATGATGGGGTTAATGGGGACAACTCAGCAGAGGTCATTAAGACATATTCCTGGATGTGAGTTTGCTGAATTACCTTTGAAGGGCTTTTCTCTCTCCTTTGATTCCAGAGGGAGCCTAAATGCCTAAAGTTAGGCTATATGAATCTCCTATGAGGTGAATTTCTGGAAGTTGTAGGAGAGTCTGGACCAGAAGGACTGAAAGCCTGAGTTTCTTGCGTGTTTAACAGCTACTCTAGCAACTGACTTGGACTTGGTTTTAAGCTTGTCCCTCTGAGTGTCCGGTTTGCCAGGCCTTTTTCATTGGTTTTCACCTGTGCAAATATTAGCCTTAAGCCAAGCTTTCATCACAGGTTACTCACTCAATGCATGTAAAACCTCTATATCTACACCACCATCTTTCAGGTGATCCAATCGTCATTTCAACAGTAATTTTTGCACTGACCCAAGAAGAATAAGTCCATGTCGTCAGCTGGGTCAGCTTTTATGGGTATCAGACTCCATAGACCAGAAGTATCCTATGGACTTGTGTGTAGCCCTGAGAGGGAAATGGGTGTGATCAGCAACTCCTGCTCTGTGATCTGCATCTGAGTGTCTTGCTAATTGATGCTGTGATGCTGAGGTAGCCATGGAAGTCAGTATCTCCTGCTTCCAGGGTTCAGCC